TTTCGCAGATCGCAGCCCCCCAGGCACGGCGAGGTCCCGCTCAGGTCTACGCGGTGCCTCGCTCTGCTGGACCCACCAGCAGCCCTCGAAAGTGGCGACAGTGTCGCAGATCGCAGCCCCCCAGGCACGGCGAGGTCCCGCTCAGATCTGCGCGGTGCCTCACTCCGCTGGACCCACCAGCAGCCCTCGAAAGTGGCGACAGTGTCGCAGATCGCAGCCCCCCAGGGACGGCGAGGTTCCGATCAGAACTGCGCCGTGCCTCACTGCCACACCCCGCTGGACCCACCAGCAGCCCTCGAAAGTGGCGACAGTTTCGGAGGTCCCGCTCAGGTCTGCGCGGTGCCCCACTCCGCTGGACCTACCAGCAGCCCTCGAAAGTGGCGACAGTTTCGCTCATCGCAGCCCCCCAGGCACGGCGAGGTCCCGCTCAGATCTGCGCGGTGCCTCACTCCGCTGGACCCACCAGCAGCCCTCGAAAGTGGCGACAGTGTCGCAGATCGCAGCCCCGTCCAGGGACGGCGAGGTCCCGCTCTGACCTGTGCGGTGCCTCGCTCCGCTGGACCCGCCAGCAGCCCTCGAAAGTGGCGACAGTTCCGCAGATCGCAGCCCCCCAGGGCGAGGTCCCGCTCAGATCTGCGCGGTGCCTCAATCCGCTGGACCCGCTGGCAGCCCTCGAAAGTGGCGACAGTTCCGCAGATCGCAGCCCTCCAGGCACGGCGAGGTCTTGCTCAGATCCGCGTGGTGCCTCACTCCGCTGGACCCACCAGAAGCCCTCGAAAGTGGCGACAGTTTCCCAGATCGCAGCCCCCCAGGCACGGCGAGGTCTTGCTCAGATCTGCGCGGTGCCTCACTCCGCTGGACCCACCAGCAGCCCCCGAAAGTGGCGACAGTTCCTCAGATCGCAGTCCCCCAGGCACGGCGAGGTCTTTCTTGCTCAGATCTGCGCGGTGCCTCACTCGGCTGGACCCGCCGGCAGCCCTCGAAAGTGGCGACAATTCCGCAGATCGCAGCCCCCCAAGCACGGCGAGGTGTTGCTCAGATCTGCGCGGTGCCTCACTCCGCTGGACCCACCAGCAGCCCTCGAAAGTGGCGACGGTTCCGCAGATCGCACCCCCCCCAGGCACGGCGAGGTATTGCTCAGATCTGCGCGGTGCCTCACTCCGCTGGACCCACCAGCAGCCCTCGAAAGTGGCGACAGTTCCGCAGATCGCAGCCCCCCAGGCACGGCGAGGTCTTTCTCAGACCTGCGCGGTGCCTCACTCCGCTGGACCCACCAGCAGCCTTCGAATGGCGACAGTTTCGAAGATCAGAGCCTTCCAGGCACGGCGAGGTTTTGCTCAGATCTGCGCGGTGCCTCACTCCGCTGGACCCACCAGCAACCCTCGAAAGTGGCGACAGTTCCGCAGATCGCAGCCCCCCAGGCACGGCGAGGTCTTGCTCAGATCCGCGTGGTGCCTCACTCCGCTGGACCCACCAGCAGCCCTCGAAAGTGGCGACAGTTCCGCAGATCGCAGCCCCCCAGGCACGGCGAGGTCTTGCTCAGATCTACGCGGTGCCTCGCTCCGCTGGACCCGCCAGCAGCCCTCGAAAGTGGCGACAGTTCCGAAGATCGCAGCCCCCCAGGCACGGCGAGGTCTCAGATCTGCGCGGTGCCTCACTCCGCTGGACCCACCAGCAGCCCCCGAAAGTGGCGACAGTTCCTCAGATCGCAGCCCCCCAGACACGGCGATGTCTTGCTCAGATCTGCGCGGTGCCTCACTCCGCTGGACCCTCTGGCAGCCCTCGAAAGTGGCGACAGTTCCGCAGATCGCAGCCCCCCAGGCACGGCGCGGTCTTGCTCAGATCCGCGCGGTTCCTCATTTCGCAGGCACGGCGAGGTCTTGCTCAGATCCGCGCGGTGCCCCACTCCGCTGGACCCACCAGCAGCCCTCGAAAGTGGCGACAGTTCCGCAGATCGCAGCCCCCCAGGCACGGCGAGGTCTTGCTCAGATCCGCGCGGTGCCCTACTCCGCTGGACCCACCAGCAGCCCTCGAAAGTGGCGACAGTTTCCCAGATCGCAGCCCCCCAGGCACGGCGAGGTCTTGCTCAGATCCGCGCGGTGCCTCACCCCGCAGGACCCACGAGCTGCCCTCGAAAGTGGCAACAGTTTCGCAGATCGCAGCCCCCATCGCCGGCGAAGAGAGGGCAGGAGGAGGCGGGAGGCGGGAGGAGGAGGACGCGACCACACCCCTCTATTCAAAACGAATACCCAACCAAGGAGGGTTGGCAAAAATCATGACGGAGGTTTTTCTTATTTTTCGGCATCGAGGAGCCCTCGCCGGGCCCTGGGACCGTCAACAAAATGAATCAGGATGAGAAACCGGTCCCGGGGAATGGGTCGAGACTTCTGGGGACCGCGCATTGAAGAAATCACGACATCGGATCTCTGGGCTCGCCGAGCGCGTGCCGCGGGCAAGAACTGTCTCCATATCCAGTGCGTCTTGGTTTTTCTTGGAAGGGGCGCCATAAGGCCAAGGCGCACTGGATATGGACAAACATGGAGCTTCTAAGGGGCAGATTTATCCATATCCAGTGCACCTCGGGTTCCTGGTGAAGGAAGCCCGAATCCCCACGCTGCAGAGGATATGGACAACAGTTCTTCCCGCACGTACCACTGCCCGAAGAGTGCCCACTCGCAGACGTCCGAAAAACCACACGGTCGGCCCACATCAGTAGGTCGACCCTGCCAAATCAAGGGTGCCCTCGCGTCCTGCGTTTCGCGACCCTGGCCTCCCACATTCCTGTGGCAATGTGGCCCTCGGAAGGGTCTCATGTCCTCTCGCGTGTCCTCTCCAATCAAGCCCGACTGCATGTCTGCTTCGATGCAAGTTTGATCGCAGGTTCCCCGCGGGGGGTCCGGGCCATCTGCGAGGAGTTGCTTTGCGAGTGGTGGAGCGCGCTCGTTCATGACCGTAGGTCGGCCAATGGGGCCACGGCCGTGCTGCTGGGGCTGGGGCTCGCTTCAACGATGCTCGGGTCCCCACCCTTCGTGCGGCAGGCGTCGCGGCGGCGCGGCCGCCGTCTGGGCCGCGGCGGCGGCCGCCGCGGCTGCCGCCGCGGCCTGGGCGCCGGCCGCTCGGAGGGCTCGGAAGGCGGAGGTCGTTCGGTGGCATGTCGTGGGAGCTCTGTATGGTACTCCAAACCCCTTATTACTCGACCCCCCCTAAAAAACAGGACCCCCTCCAAACGCGACCTAATATTCCAGGCCCCCCTCTTCGACGGGGCGCCTCAATAAACCGGACCCCCTAAGCTCCGATCCAAAGAAAGCGCCCTAACAAACTTGACCCCCCCCGGTTTCAAAAAAAGGCGCCTTAAAAACCGGACCCGGGGGACGATGAATAAGGGATTTTGAGTAGGTTCATGTGGCGATGGCGCGCCGGAGACGCCGGCGAAGGCGTTCAAGGTCGAACTCCGCACGATGGAACGACACAGAAGCATCGAGGGGCACGCTATAGCGCCACGGGACCCAGCGTGGTTCAGCCTCGAGCGAACGGCGTCGGGATCGGTTCAAGGTTCACCGATCGATGCGGTGTCAAAAATTGTTGCGCGCGTGGGAGCCGCGCGAATCTACCGTATGATCTCGGGAGCTAGTCTTTGGAGTGCACTCGCGTGTGCAAGCGTCTGGTAATCGATGAGAAAGCGCCGAGCTGGCGTCGAGCGGCGTCGGCCAGCGTCGGCTCGCAGGAGCCAGCAGGATGACGTGGGAGGCGCCCGCAGAGCTGCCACAGCAGGCTCGGACGGCGGGAGTCGGTGTTTGGGGGGAGCTCAGAGGAGGAAGAGGTGCCGAAACCGCACCCCCCCCTTTCTCCTCCTCCGCTGAGTGGAGATAACTCGTCCTCCTCCTCCTCCTCCTCCTCCTCCTCCTCCTCCTCCTCCTCCTCCTCCTCCCCTCCCCCTCCTCCGCCTCGTCGTCGTCGCCGTCGTCCTCGTCGTCGTCGCCACGGCTGGACTCGGCGCGCAAAATCTTGGCCGTGGCGCACCCCCGGGGACGGGGAAGGAGTGGAGCAGGGCAGGAGCGAGGGCGGGCCGTGCTGGGCTGGGAGGGGGGCAGGGCCGAGCGGGAGCAGGGGGGTGGGAACGCCATGGCACATACATATAATATATATATATATACATATATACATATATATAAACAAATATATCGACATATGTATATATCGATATATATATATATATATATATATAGATATATCGATATATATAGATAGACAAATATATTGATAGATGATGGATGGATGATGGATGGATGGGTGGATAGATAGATAGACAGATGTAGAGAGAGAGAGAGGGCAGCGCCGGACACGACATGGAAGGATTAGCTACAGTGCACGGCATGGTGGAGGGAGGGGGGGGCGGGAGGGCAGAGGAGGCAAGCGGGGGCACGGCTGCGCACATGGGGGGGGGGGGGCATGGGGGGGGGAAGGGGCAGAGGATGGGGATCGGGGCGGGGCGGGTGCAAGGTCGAGGGGGGGTGCGGCCGCGTGCGGGCGTGCGAGCTGTGGGCCCAGGAGGGGGCGTCCCGGCCTCGCGCCTGCGTGCTTGCTCCCGCGGCGTGCGCAGTCACTGGGGGAGGTCGGACTGGGGAGTGTCAGCGCGGTGGGAGGAGGGGGGCGAAGGGCGATGGGGCTCCGACGGCGCGGGAGGAGTGCTGTGCTGCCCTCGCTGTCGGCGGGTCGAGCTGGACGGAGGGCCCTCCGCGGTCGAGCGTGTTGCGCGGGCACCCCTGGTGCCGCCGATGGCGGTTCAGTCGCCGCTGGGGCGCTTCTTCGCCTTGACCCCGTCCTCGAAGCCGCGGCCCGCCGACGCCACGGGCGACACCACCCCGCCGTCGGCGAGCGACAAGCTCAAGCGCGCGGCGGCGCCACCTGCCGCGGCTCCCGAGGCGGAGGCCTCCAAGCGGCGGCGGCGCACCAGGGCGGACGGTGCCAACGATGGCGGCCCACCCGAAGCGGCCGATGCCATGGACACGGCCGGGGCGGAAGCATCCCAGGGCGACGCGCTGGAGGCCTTGCCCGCACCGCCAGCGCCAGCGGCGCCCATGGCGCCCACGGGGGAGGACGGGGCGCCCAGCGACTTGAGAGCCACGCTCCAGCAGGCGCGGAGGGGGGGCACGGGCACCCTGCCGCCCTTCATCGCAGAGTGCTTCCACCACTACGATGCGGGCCAGCACTACAGCTGGCCGGCCTGGCTTTCCAAGGACAAGCTGCGCGACGTCGAGGGTCGTCGGCCAGATGACCCTGCCTACAATCCTGGCACGCTCTGGATCCCGGACGCGGCGCAGCAGAAGGCCGACGGCCATGGCACGCCGATGCTGCTGCAGTACTGGAAGTTGAAGAGTGTTCATTTCGACAAGATCGCGCTGTTCAAGGTTGGCAAATTTTACGAGCTCTTCTACTACGATGCCTTCATCGCCCAGCACGTTTGCGATCTCAAGTGGATGGCCAACGAGAAGAAACCCCACGTCGGCTTCCCTGAGATGGCTAAGCACGACTACGCTAAGAGGCTGGTAGACGCTGGGTACAAGGTTCACCACCCGCCAAACCACCCCAACCCAACCCGAAGGTCTCGATTTGCCCTCCATTTCCAGTTGGGGGGGGTCGGGGATCATCGAGAAAACACATATGGAACCCGTACCCCCCCCACCCGAAATCCGGGTCTTCGGGTTGGGTTGGGGTGGTCTGGTAGGTAGTCAAAGGTCGTCGTCGTGGAGCAGGTGGAGCGCGTCCAGGAGCAGCGAGAGCGCACGGCGGAGAAGTGCAGGAGCGACGGCCCGAGCTGCGTCCAGCGCGACGCCTGCGAGGTGTACACCAAGGGCATGCTGGTGGATCCCGAGATGCTGGGCGGAGCGAGCGCCCGTTTTGCGGTCTACCTGCACTGCCAGGGGGGCACATGCGAACCCTACCCCTACCCCCCACGATTTCTGAGGGGGAGGGTGGGGTTTTCACTCGCTCGGGAGCTCCCGAACGGAGTGAACCCCACCCTCCCCCTCAGAAATCGTGGCGGGTAGGGGTAGGGTTCGCATGTGCCCCCCTAACTGCGAGCCATGCCCGAGCTCTGTGGCGGCCGGCCAGAAGCTGCCCTTCGCCGTGTGCATGCTGGACTGCGCGACATCCCACATCCAGGTCGGCAGGGTGCAGGACGGCCCCGACCGGAATGCGCTTCGGACGCTGCTGGCGCAGGTGCAGCCCAGCGAGGTCCTCTACGACGCCGCGAGCCTTCCGGCCGACGTCCAGATGATTGTGAGGAGGCTTCCGTGTCAGCCGCAACTGAGCCAGGTCAAGGCAGATTCGGCGCTGGCGGCGAGGGACAGGCTTTGCCGCTACCGCCACTCGCACCCGGACAAGCTCACGCCTGCGGTCGAGGAGGTGCTCAAGCAGGACAGCGCCGCGGTCGCGACGACGGGCGTCATGAGGTATCGAATGGCCTTCGGCCCATCCCGCCACTGTGCCTGGATTGTGGGTATGAAGCATATTGGATGTTTGTTGGAGGCCTTTCGGGGGAGGCCTCTTGGGGGCCTCTTGGATGCAGTTTTGAGGCCTCTGACGGGCCGTCTTGGGGCCTCCTGGGGGCACTTTGGGTTTCTTGGGGGCCCCTTAGGAGCCTCTTGGGGCCTCTTGGGCGCCTCTCGGGCGCCTCTTGGGCTTCTGGGGCGGATTTTCGGTTCGTGTTTCCTCATTTGGGCCCCTTTTGGGGCTGTCTTGGGGCCATCTTGGGCGCCTCTTGGGCCGTCTTGCTGCGCCCTTAGGCCGTCTTGGGGCCCTCTTGGAGCCGTCTTGGGATGGTGTTGGGGCCTCTTGGGCCATCTTAGAGCGTCAGGAACTTTAAAGCGAGCTGAGGGACGTAAGGAGTGGAAGCGAGCGTGTGCCCGATGCCGCGTCGGCTCAAGCGACCGGCCGCCCAAATATGACTGTGCCTCATCGCGAGGCACACGATTGCTATCGAGACCAAAAGGGTCTTCCTATTGCTTAAGATGGCACATCCTCTCCTACTGGGGCTATCGTTACTACGGTACAACAGAGCGGGAGCTTGGCTTCGCTTAAGGCGAAGCTGTTGGCTGGGCCTCCCAGCCCCCTTCAAACTTGGTAGCGGAGCTGGCCTATTGTGGTCAGCTCTTGCTCTACTCCTCACCATCCACGGCACTATCTGGTGGATTACGGACATGGTGGGATATTAGGGTGCAGTGGGCTTGCGCGGAGGAATGCATATAGCTACGCACTATCGCAAGGACACTTGCAGCGATACCTCTGTTCATGCGGAGGTCTCTTACTTACGTCCTTCATCCCTGCGCTTCTACACTCCTGAAATCCACCCACCTACTCCAATTTGAAATGTCATTGAAGATATGATGAATGGAAACATGCGATACGATACATTGCCGCCTCCACCCCCACGCAGATTTACGACTGCACAACGGAAGTCCCAATCGACTTCATCCGACCACGACCTACGAGGTCACTGGATTGGTATTGCTGTCTTTGGGCTCACATGGGCCGCTATGGGGCGCGCGGTAGGACATATGCGTGGCGGAGACGACACGAGAACGACCGGCCTTCACTGGGACCCAGCCGGTCAAGTTCCTTTTCGCGAATTCGTCCGCGAAGTACACGCCTGGATCGACGTGACCACAGGCACTATGACGCCCTCCCAGCAGGCTGCAGCTCTGCAGCGAGGTTTGGGAGGTCTCGCACGGACCATAGCCGTGAGAGTTATTCCAGCAGTTATTAATTTTGGCGCCAACATTGGCGGTCGCCACACTGACGGCGCCACCTATATCTTGTTCCTTTGAAGCACGAAGTTCGAGAATTCAGAAGAGGAGCGCCAACTCAATTCTGGCAACGCCCTTATTGACTTCCGAGTCCATGCGGGAGAACGCATCGACCAGACGGTAGCACGTTTTGAACTAGCCCGCTATGAAGCTGAAACGGCCGACTTCAACATCCCCAACTTCCAAATATTAGCAGTGATTTGATTGAGAACTCTTGGAGTGCGGACGTCGCGTGCACAACAGCTCCTGCAGCCTCTAATGCACCACGTGCCGAGAGACCAACAACAATGTGACGCCCTACTCGAACGTATGAGGTCATATACTCACATGTCTGAGAGAACCCGGGGCAATATTGGATGTATTTTCAGTCACGGTCGCCGAGCCGAGACCTTTCACGTGGAGGCTAACGCAGGGCAGCCTGCTAACGACGTCTGGAATGATGATCCACAGCCAACTGAGACCATTACACCGCTGGCTCAGAATAGTGGAACGGCCTCGGGGTCACGGCTTGCATGGGGGCCGCCTGACGCGGTGTCCCCCATGCAAGCCGTGACCCTACTGGGCTCAGCGGGGCAACCCGCCGAGTCCGACATCGACTCCGGTACTGATACCGATGCGTCTTCGGACGGTGAAGCCACAGCCCATGACTACTCGAATATGCCTACATACCTCACGGAAGAGCAGGAAGCGCAATGGGTATTTTTAGGATACCGAAAACACATGCGCCGATGGCGGCGATTCATGAAGAAGCCAGTCCGCAAGGTACGGCGTGTCGTACGACGAGCACTCATGGGAAAAGGCAAAGGTCGAAATAAGGGTGAGGGTAAGCGTCGGCGATTGCATGGTAGAGGCACATTTGCATCACTAGGATCCCTCACGGGACCACAGCATGAAGACATGTTTTTTGGTACAGACAGAAACCGCAGGCATACATCAGGAAAAGATCAGGGACGTCGGGAAAACCCAAAGGATGCCAATGGTAGGACTCTGGAGCGCGACACATGCAACAGTGCACAGCACTTTCGCCGCGAATGCCCTCATGGCGATGGGAGAGGCAGGGGTCCGTCAATACATCTGGCTCAAACCGACTCTGCCATGCAGTATGTTGATTGGTAGTCTCTTTTCGCTGACCCTGCCGATAGCCCAGCTGCAGTTGTCAACTTCATGGCTGCCAGATATCTTGGCGCCAGTATGACCCTCGAGAATTGCGCCGACGAGCTGTTCGAGGAGGTGTTCACTGGCCACAACGACATCGATCTGGCAGAATGGCTGGGCACGCCCATCGCGGGGCAACCTGCAGATTGAATTCGTCGAGAGCTTCCACATGCCCGCCGAAGGGGATGTCGACATGGCGGGGGCGCCCGCGAATTCAGAAGCTATCATTCCTGCAACAGACGCAGAAATACATTTGATGTTTAATCTTTGGGTTATTGGAAATCCGGCACATATTGAATTGAGCGACGATGATCCTGTGCGGGGAAGCCCACGAGACGCTAGTGATCTATCTGAGCGCGTCCAATATGAACTTGGTCAGAATGGGGGATTTCAATATTCCTTCGTTGCTTCAGATCGTTCCATGAGCCGCCAGAAGCGATCGGCAAGCCGCCAGGTCTGGAGGAAGAAGTATCACGCCGACGACGAGGACGAAGAGTGGGAAGATAACGACCGCATGGTACGTCGCGGTCGGATCCTCAGTCGCTCACCTGATCGTGCGCGCCCGCTCCAGTGGCGCTCGCTCTAGCGGTCTTCAGCGCCCTCGTCCTCCTGGCGCGGGAACTCCAAAGGCCCCCCCCACCCCCCATGGCAGGCTGATAGACCTGTCGCTTCTCCGAGGAGGGAACGCCTGCGGGGGCACCCGCCTCGAGAATACCAGCCGCGAGAAGAATATCCAGAGGGCGGAATGCAGCGCCAATTTGGTTGCGCGGAAGCTGGATTGGCTCGTCAGCGCATGCCCCCAGATAAGATGCAATATTGGTTGGATCAGGGTTGGGCTGAGCATCGGATCCGCCACTGGCAATCTCTTCGCAATATTAAACGGGGCGAGGATGGCAAGACCATTCGCTCGACAAGGACCGGACCGAAAACTGTCAAGCGCGATCTCAAGAGAGCTATCATCGAGGAACGGAAGCTTACAGAGGTGCATGTTGCGCATGTTACCACTATGCCGACCACAGGCCCGGTTGCCCCATGAGACGCCCATCAAGAAGCCCGAGTTTTAAGCGAACACCGCGGGTTTGGTCTCATGGCGATGGTCGGGGTTACTGCACCGATCTTAATGCAACGCCACGCGAGGAGCAGTTGACGGAGAACGACTACGACCACGCCACACCTTAAGACATATCCCGATCTCTCTTCGTACGGAAACACTTCTCACCTCTTCATTATTTGATGCAGTTCGATCGCGATTGGCACGCAGGGAAACCTGCTATTCCCAAATCAGAAGAGGACGATCGACATTACTTTGATGAAGATGAGGCTGACGCGATGGCCGAAGAGGTGAACCCCGCGGACGCGGCCCCTGCAGGGTGCGCTTCGGACGACTTCATCGTTGCGGGCGTCACCTGCAAAACGAACGCGCCGATCCATCCTGAGTACGCTGTCACAGCAGAGATGGATCTTTCTCCTGGACGACGGATTGCCTACCGTGCTGAAGGTGTAGGCTGGATAAAGACCAGCATAGAACAAAATGCTTAGTCCTACCAGGTACCTTTTGGCCGGGAAGCAAAAGACCACGATTAAAAACATTGCCCTCAGGACGCCAAATGGTATCGACCTGAATCCTGGTCGGAACCCCGGGCGACGTGGATCATGGGCACCGGCAGGGGCCGCGGCCAAGGCGGCTCCCAAGCCGAAGCCAGAGCTGCCGATTGATATTTCTCCATCTTCGGATTCGTCGAGTCTGTCGTTCGGTCCTGATCAGCTCAGACCCAAGCAGAAGAAGGGGAAGAGCCCAGATGGTCCTAACCCTGGAGACAGTAAGCAGCAACGATCTGCGGGGCAACCTGCTGATAGACGTCGATCCAGAGGACCGGCGGTGGCTGCCGCAGCAGCTGCGCATCAAGGCGCCAGTGCTCCTACTCTTTAGGGCCCTGTGCCACGTCGCGGCCCTGCGCCGGGTCGGGCGCGCAGGACTGGCCGGGCGCCGTTACTGGAAGGATCAACAAGGGGCGCCTCTTCAACAAGGCGTGATACCGAGAGGAAGTTACTGGCAACCTCGTCGAAGGCATCAGGAATGGCCCCCAAAGGTAAGACAGCCGAGTCCTACCACATTCAGGAGAAGAGACGCCAGGAATTTGACATCAGCACCCCGCCAGGGACTCCTCGAACGCCTAGGGGAACCGCTGGCGTTGCCCTATTGTCGGCAAACGCCCCGGCACCTGCCGCATCGGCGACAGCCCAGAGTTCAGCAGCGCAACCTTCTCAGAGTTCTGCAGGGCAGCCTGCTCTTACTTTGGAGATGCCAGTTGAGTGCCGAGAGTGCTGGGGGAAGTTACGCACGTCCAATCGCGCGAAGATCACCCCCGCATATCATCTTCAATTTGACGACGGGTCTGATCGGTACATTGCGGTGAAGTGCGATCTCGAGGACACCGCCGCCCTCGCTGACAGGGGCGCTCATGCGCGCCAGATGGCGCGCAAGATTTTGCGCAAAAAGCC